ACCAGGGCGGGTGTGGTAAGTGTAGACGGCCGTGCGCCTGCATCTCCGCCGGCTGTCTTATCACTGTCTCGCCATTGGAGCAGGATGAGTGGGTGAAGAGAGGGAGAGTGCGGCAGACAGGGTGTAGGGCTGGCCTGGACGAGTCATGGGCTAACTACATCGGGTACGTGGTGCAGATCGGTTGCCGCGGTGTAAATGGCACTCGTGAGGATTCTAGATCAAAGCTCCAATAGGGACTCATAACTCATCTTGCAGATGTCAGATTTGTATTTTTACGTTTCCATATACAGGGGTAACCACTATGTATGTAACATTATCCTAATTAAGCCCTAACTCAGCGTGCGTTTAGGTTGGAATGTCAGACGCCAGCGTGATACGTTGACGGTGGAGCAGAGAGAGGGGGATGAGGGCAGCGTGCTGCTCTCGTAAAAATTATCGCAGGTCTGTGAACTCCTTAATTTCCCGCAGAAGAAGGCTAATTATTATTTTCTGTGATGGGGTGAAGTCTAAAATCATAGGGAGACAAAAAATGCAAGCATGCTACCGGGTATCTATTTAGTCATTGGCTGTTTTGCCCCGTGCTCATAGAACGTGCTTGGTAGATGTCGCAAACGAAGACTCGCTGACTGTAGCTGACTGGTCGCGAAAACCGACGCATCGGCACGGACTTTGGTTCACCTTTAACAGGTTTTAAAACGACAACTTCAGAAACATTTGCATGAATACAGGCTGGAAGGGTGATTTCTGATGTTAACGTTATCCCCCGTCAAAACTGAAAAGAAGTCATTTTAACCTGACACATCAAACGAAGTGCCAATTCTGCAACTTCAGCAATATTAGTACAAGAGGAGTTTACCTGACTGACTATAGTCGCTTCTGTCCTTTCGATGGCCTCCAGCCACTTGTGTCTCAAAATTGCTGGTTTCTTCGGAACCCGGTAGAAATGACGATTGTCCTCAAAGCCACGATACCGCGAGCGGAATTTGCAATTTGGAAAGCCGCAGGTTGTTGGCATTTGATGATCTCTGAACATGGGAGGAGATTTAAAAAAATATACGGACATGAGCGTGAGTATGACTGCGTTGAAGCTCACTAGAATCGAGGTCTTTTGTTTTCAAAAAATCGGCTGCATTTGTGACTAAAACCACCAAATATCTCGAGCATTTCCTCTCTTCAAAAACCTGCATTCCACTCGGATCGCATTCGGATTTTATGATTCTAATAGTGCTGGGCTTCCTTGCCAGGGCATTGTTGAGTATGTAAAATAATAGGCAGATAATATTGCAGGTAGAGACAAAGGAGACGGGAATGGTCATTCCTGGCTCATTAGGCGTCGTCAGCCAGTCATACCCAGACTCAAGTGGTGTCCCACCCGAGTCTCAAACCCACGAACTTTCTGCTCAGAGTCAAACGCCTTAACTATGAGCCCGTTGTCTCGCCGGTTTGGGACAAGGGATATTGAGACCTGTTCATGTAAAATGATGTTGTTTTCACAGAATCAAACTGGTAGCAATTAACTGAGATTTATTACGGTCATGTAGAGATTGGTTTCCTAATTTTGGCCTCTAGGATGGACCACGCAAGGGATGCGCTGAATCAAAAGGGGGGGCTAGATTAGGATACGCCACGCGTTTACCGGGCTGCATAGCGTCTACGCGTCCCCATAATAAATGACACACAACAATGGGGGTGAGGGGACGCTGACACGCGCAGATGCAGGCTCACGCCATGCCAGTAATTTGCACCCAGTATCCCAGCATCATAAGGCTGACCGACTCGGACAGCGGATTGGTGCACGGGAAAAAGTGGGTATAAGGAATTTGATTCTGAGTCCTCCTTTCATGCTGTATTTTCCGCCCATTTTCTCACTACAGTAGTCACTGGCTATTAAGCCCACGGTTAATAAGCCCAGCCGCGTATTAAGCCCACATC